GGTTGTCTCTCTGTCTGTCTGCCTGCTTGTCTGTCTGTCTGTCTGTCTGCTGGGGCCGGGAAAGGAATCCGCATGGCGAACGGCGCCACACTCCGTGCTGGGTGCCGGGTTGTCCAGCAGGAAGGGTGCTCCTCACAGATTCACAGATTGGTAGGGTTCAGAAGGGACCTCTGGAGATCATCTAGTCCAACCCCCATGCTAAAGCAGGATCACCTACAGCAGGTTGCACAGGATGGCGTCCAGGCGGGTTTTGAGTATCTCCAGAGAAGAAGACTCCACAACCTCTCTGGGCAGCCTGTTCCAGTGCTCTGTCACCCTCACAGTGAAGAAGTTTTTCCTCATGTTCAGATGGAACTTCCTGTGTTCCAGTTTGTGCCCGTTGCCCCTTGTCCTGTCACTGGGCACCACTGAAAAGAGTCTGGCCCCATCCTCTTGACACCCACCCTTTAGATATTTATAAGCATTGATGAGATCCCCCTGAGCCTTCTCTTCTCCAGGCTAAACAGACCCAGCTCTCTCAGCCTTCCCTCATAAAAGAGATGCTCCAGTCCCCTCATCATCCTTGTAGCCCTCCACTGGACTCTCTCCAGTAGTTCCTTGTCCTTCTTCAACTGGGGAGCCCAGCACTGGACACAGCACTCCAGATGTGCCCTCACCAGGGCAGAATAGAGGGGGAGGAGAACCTCCCTTGACCTGCTGGCCATGTTCTTCTTAATGCACCTTCTTGGCCATGAAGGCACACTGCTGGCTCATGGAGAGCTTGTTGTCCACCAGAACTCCCAGGTCCTTCTCTGCAGGTCAACCACTAACCTGTACTGAGAGGGGAAGGGATGTGAGTGGGTGTCTTTTTTTCTTGCCTCCTGTAACAAAAACTATTGTAGCTTTCCTCCCAGGGCACAGTGGAAAGATGTGCCAGAAAATATCTTAAGTAACACATGAGATATATATAATATTTTTTTCTAGTGGTCATTTTCACATATTTAAAGCCAGCTGGTGGCTCTAATTTAATCTTAAGAGAAATGAAACAGTGTTTTCCACACTTTTTTGGCTAGGTTCAATGTTAATTTGGGTAATTCCAATGAATAATGAAATGCTAATATTATTTCAGTTATTTTTCACCATGCTTCAGTGGCAACTCTTTGAACTATGTAATGTTCAAAGGAGGAATGATGACCCTGGTTTACTGCCTGTGATGTGAGCCAAACACCAGTTTTACTCCGGCAGCTGAAGGGCCATCCAACAAAAGACAGGTTTAGTTAATACCAATCTTGGTAAGCCATGCTCTCAGAGCTCTTGGATGGATTTTCCTTTCTGACTAGTTACAGCCTAAAGAGCTATCAACACCACAGCTTACAGAACCCAGATTGAAACCACAGATCCGAATACCTGAGGCTTTGCAGTTGTTCAGATCTAAATCCAGATCATAAACCTGCAGCAGGGTTCTACCTCTAAGCCAGTCCTGTCCTTTATGGCACAACACACAAACCACAATGATATTTTTTAGGTGTAATTTACTCCAGGGTCCTAGCTCACAATTATGTCGGTCCAGTTCTATAGCAGTGTAAAATGAGAGCAAACCAGTAATGAATCAATTGTCCATTACTCTATTCTGTTTGATTCATGTTGTTCCAAATAATGTCTGATATTATTTAGTTAGAGAGAACCCAACCAGTTAGAGGTATTTCAGTGAGTTAGCTCCATGGACTCAGTCTCTCTCGTTTCACTTGAAATTAGATGGCAGATTCTGACACCAGAAACTATGCCTACTAATTGCGAAGCACTTCCAGATACTGTAAAATAAGGCTGGCCAAACTTCACACTTGCATACTTCATGTTTACTCTTAAACCAGAGTGTAAGATAGAAGGTAAATGCCATAGATATACTTAGCTGCTGTTCCTTAGAAAATCGCATGAAGATGTCTGTTGTGCTTTGCATTGGAGCAATGAGCAGCATAACTACAGTTTCTTCTTACGTGAAGAGTACAGAGCTCTGCTGGAAATAAACCAGAGCCTGTGGGCTGGGTTGTGCCTTGACAGCCCGGGATCCAACTTCCTCACCTGGAAGAGCGATACTTTAGACGTCTCTCACCCGACCCCAGCTTCTAATGTAGCCCACATCTCTTTGCCTGCCTTTCCAGGTGAATGTTTTGTGTTACTTTTCAGAAAGTAGATGCATAAAATGGTCTCTTCCAGCACTCCTACTGATCCCTCAGTAAAACATATCCCAACAGATGAATCAGGTACCTGATTTTTGCCCCTTTTACTTTAAGTACCAGTTTTGACACAGCCAGAGGTTTCTGGGTGAAAAAGCCTAATAACTTGTCCAGTTGTACTAGAAAGTTGTTCTTCTGCATTGAGGCTCATCCTCTGAGGTACCTTCATCCCTCAGAGTGCTTTCTGCTGCTCTCAGCTGGTCCAGCTGCTGTGTACACCCTCCTGGGACAGTGGACCTGAATCAAGCCTGCCATTGTGACTTTTATGATGAGGGTTCTACCCAAAAAAAGATCTCTTTTCCTCTCTTGGGCTTGAGTGTCAAATGTATCCAGGCAAACAGAAACTCACAGTGTATCTAAAAAGGTTTTAAGTGTCATTACAAAAGTATAGCTTCTGCTTGAATGCTGGTGGGAGCTGAATCTCAACAAGACGTTTTCCTGCAGGTGACTGGGAGTCCCCGCCAGCAGTGCCTTTCCCGTGTCAGAATTGCTGCATGTGACAATTCCTTACTTTTCACAAATTGGATTAAATCACTATGTCTCATATCAGTCACAGCCCTGACTTTTTGAAATGCCAATTTATGATGGACACTCTATGAAACTGCTCCAAATTACAGGGAAAGTATTTCTGTGTACCAGTACACTATTGCATTTTTCTGAAGATTCGATGTCTATATTGCAAGTCTTTGCCAATCTCCATGGCAACTAAACACTCGCCACCTAGGTTATGTATTCAAGTACAGTTATTTTCAACTCTTTTCCAATTAAGATTCCACAACAGCCTTGTTTTCTTGCTATAACCACAGTGCTAGCAACAAGGCGTTGTAGTATTATGGTGCAAAATATAGATGCTTATAGCTGTACTGAATGTTCCTGGTTGGAAGCTGCCTGGTAGTAAAAGGACTGCATCAGATCTTCACTTTTCTTAATTACCTTCTTCTGCCTGAAAATACAAACACTGCCAAGTCATGAGAGTATCCTTTTC